CGGCAGGAGTGCGGTATTCGGTGGCTGCGGGGACTCGTAGTCCGGTCTTAGGATCCATTTGGCGAGTGTCGGATGGTCCAGGAGTAGTGGGCAGTGGTGACTTGGAACGAGAGCGTGAGGCTGGCTTGGCATAGTGCCTCTCGAACTCTCCTAGGCGGACCCAGGCTTCTTGCGCGAGTGGCCCGGCGACTAGAGCGGCAAATTTCCTTCGGCGTTCCGAAATCCGAATTCTTCGGCGAGGACTTCTAGTTCGTCCCGACGGAGTTTGTGGATCCAGCCGGTGCTGACCCCTGGATTGGAAAAGTGTCCCGCAGGGTATGCCTCCTCTGGTTGTTCATCGTCGTGATGTTCCATGTTGATTTCTGTTGATTTTTGGCAATGAGTCACTGTTAAACGGCACTTTTAGGATCGGCACTGCGTATACTTTCGCGTTTGTTTTCGCGCCCGGATTATGTAAGTGCGCGGACTTGTTATCGATTCAATTTTCTTCCACGAAGTGCCTGATTTCGGTTTTCTTGAAGTTTCCACGAAAAATCCTTTAAAGTCCCTGCTCGGGCGCCACTGGTAATGTCCTATTTCAGGCTGAGGTATGCATCAGCCTGTCCAGGGTCCTGAATTACAAGATATTTATAATTCACGAGGACTTTATCGGGAAAACCAGGAACTTTGCCAGAAAACTGAAATAGAAATCACAACACTTTTTGGTTCTTTTAATTTTAATGGTTTTCTTTATTCTTCCGTATTCTTCCGTACGATTATTCTACCCGGTTATGTTATGTTTACTTGCACTACGACGCAGATGGTGATTTGACTGACTCTGACGATGGCTGGTGGACTGCCTCCGACGATGGCTGGTGGACTGCCCTTTTCTTCATGCAAGGCAGTGCCTTTTATAGATCGGCCGGCCTTCGATTTTCCCATGAATGTCTTACAGATATCTTATTTCTACTCCGGAATGTGGGAAGGGTTCTTACATAAATATATATTGCCGAATTATAGTCTGCGCGTACAGACGGGCTGATCGGTAACAGAAGGTTACCTAATCATTAGCCCTGCAGTCAGTGTCCAATATCCCCGGTAAGGAGAGTCGGAGACTGCTGACTGGCTTGCGCATGTGGGGGTTTTGCCCGGTAATCGAGGGTTACCTAACTAATCGCCTCCCAACAAGTGTCCAATGTCCCAGGTAAGGTGATCGGTGTGCACCGGTACCGTGGGAAAGGAATTTCGTTGGCACTTCGGGAATATATATTGTTAGGAATATTTATTTATTTAATATTATTTTAGGTACTTATTGCGTAAGCCCCTTCTGCTGGTCTCCTGTCTTTTGGCGTGTGCTGAGTTTGCATTTTTGCTGGGTGTTGATCGCTTCACCTGGGAGTAGCGTTGGCTGCGTCATCTGCTTGTGACGAACCATGGGATCCATGGCTCGTTACAAAAGTTTAGTGGTATAAGGGTCTGTGAACTCCTTAGACCATCTTTTGATAAAGCCCAGGACTCCTCTGGCTTTATTCGAAATAGCGGATATGTGTTAGTTAAAACACAGATTTGGTACAAAGATAATTCCCAAGTCAGTAATTTGGTAAAGGCGGGTGGAACAGTTATGCCTATTATAGTCAAAGAGGTAAGGCTTGCTGCGATGGAATGTCATGACGTTACATTTGGAAATGTTAAGGGGAAGAATGTTTATTAAGCATCAGTTGTTGAGGGCGTCAAGATCAGATTGGAGACATAACGGGGACATGGGGTCGCTATAGGAGAAACATAACTTCACATCGTCCGCATACATAAGTACTCGGGAATGAGTTAAGACTTAGGGAAGATCATTGATGAATAAATTAAACAACAGAGGGCCAAGATGGCTACCTTGAGGTACCCCCGACGATACAGAGACAGGCTTAGAAAGAGAGTTAATAAAACTGACACGCTGAGATCGATTACCAAGGTATGCATTAAACCAGAAAATAAGTTTAGGCGGAAACCCTAGGAGAGATAATTTATGAATAAGCAGATTATGATTCACTGAATCAAATGCTTTACTAAAGTCAGTATAGACTACGTCAGTTTGCGACTGCTTAGCGAAACCCTCATGCACGAAAGTGGAGAATTCCAGGAGGTTAGACAAAATAGACCGACGTTTTACAAATCCATGCTGCGATTCAGAGAATAATGAACAACAAAAGTGTTGGAGCTGGGAAGTAATTATTTTTTCGAAGAGTTTGGGAATGGCGGATAAATTGGAGATCCCACGGTAATTTGAAACAACCGATTTAGAGCCCTTTTTATGAATGGGAATAATATAAGACTCTTTCCAGACAGTGGGAAAATCGCCGAGCTCGAGAGATAGGTTAAACAGTTTAAGGAGGGGCAGGCAGAGAGAATCTGCACAAAGTTTAAGGACAGCACTAGGAACCATATCGGGACCGGTAGAAAAAGAAAATTTACATGACTTTAAGTTAATTAAGAGGTCATTATAGTCGATGAATGGGGGATAGATACAGTTAGAACTATTCATGTGGAAGGGATAAGATTGATTGGGACGAAGTATGTCAGAAGAAGTCAGAATAGAGGGATGGTTATTAGAGGGAGCTGATTAGCAGAGTTGAAAAAATGAAGCGAAAAGATTAGCAACATCACATTCATTATCAGCCTGGCTGCCGTTAAAAGAAAAAGAAGACGGAAATTGGGAAGAGTTACGTTTTGAGTTGACAAACCTAAAAAATTGCTTGGGATCACGCTTAAAGCTAAGTCTACATTTGGACAGGTAGTCATTATAACATGTTTTATTACATAAAAGAAATTTACTCTTAGCGATTGAATACTTAGAGAAGTCAGATCGCGAACCAGTTCTTTTGAACCTTTTATACAAGCGTAAATCTTATACACGAAAAAACTGCTTTCCTGAATCAAAAAATAGACGGTGGCTTAACGGGAGTTTTGATGGGGATACTTTTTGAAAAATTATTCGTCACAGAGACGACTGGCTCAAGGGACCACCTGGCCCAGACGGAGCCATACAAATCTTCACAGATGGCTCGAAACTGGACAACAAGGTCGGAGGGGCAATCTACTCCGAACAGCTAAACAGGCTCCCAGATCACTGCAGTGTCTTCCAAGTGGAAGTCATAGCGATTAAGGAAGCTTTGAGTTGACTCCATGAAATTTCCACTACGGCAACTCGTAAAAACATCTACAGTGACAGCCAGGCTGCGATAAAATCGCTAAATGCGATAACATCGAGCTCGGCTACCGTGACAAACTGTCGCAAATCTCTTCACGAGATGGCTCATCAGTTTGTTATTAGCCTAATATGGGTCCCGGGCCACCAAGACATTGAGCATAGCAGATGAGCTGTCCAGAACTAGTATAACAATCCCCCTTCTCCACGATATGGAGGATATTCGTATGCCAATGGCCATTTGTAAGCACATTATAAAAGAGCACTTTAAGCTACTAATAGACAATAGATGGCAAACTGTACCACAACGTCGCATAACTCGGCAAACATGGCCTCGTATCACAAAAAAGCGTACCGCTGAGCTCTGCAAGCTCAGTAGAAGGTGCAGCTCAGTCATACGTTCCCTAACGGGACATTGGCTAATAGGCACCCATGCAAACTGGCTGATTGCCCCCTACAACACTTATGTCGCAGTTGCAGAGATGAGGACGAGGAGGACACGGTGGAACATCTGTTTTGCTTCTGTCCGGCTCTCAGTAGAAGGAGACTTCAATACTTGTGCTCACCTTTCATAAATGGCGTCGTTCAACACTTTGAAGCTAAAATTCGTTAACTAAACCTAAAAAATGAAAAAAATGAACAAAAAATACCTTTTCGATGGTTGCGGGCCCAACTGCCAATTGGGAACAAAGCAAACGAAAAAGGGTTGTACATTTGGTACCTGATCGCGATCCCAATTCCCAATGGGCAGTTGGGCCCGCAACCATCGAAAAGGTATTTTTTGTTCATTTTTTTCATTTTTTAGGTTTAAACGCCAAATTAATGCACCTATACACAAAAAAATAGAGGACACAGGATATAATTTTTTTTCGACTTTTCCTGAGTTTTTAAAGTCAAAATTTAGTAAAAAATACCGCACAAAAATCATCATTTTTGCATTTCAATGCTTTATATTTCCCAGACGGTAAGCTGTAATCACAATGTGTTTGAGCTTAACTTCTAGCTGTTTTAATTATCTTTTCAAAATAGCAAAGTTCTTTACAACCAAACGTAAGATACTAGAACTATGTGAAAAAAACAAGCGCTACCTCTGAAAAAAGCTTAAAAAAAATACCAGACTTCAAAAATTCTTCAAAAAAAAGTTCTGCCATAGAAAAAAAACCATAATTCTTTAAAAAAATTTAAATCCCCATATCTATCAGAAAAAGTCGGTTTGCATCCTTGAGGAAAAAAAAAGTTCGATTTTGTCGAGTAGTGTTATTTGCCATAGCAAATAACGGTAATAATTACGCTCCCATAAATCCGTCTGGATACATAACTGGCGCAGCCGAAGAGGCCTTCTGACAGAAAAATGGGACCTTCTGTCAGAAGGAAGAACCAAAGTATAACAGAATGGATGAAGAAAATTTTAAGATAAGTTATATAAAAACACACATAAGTACATATAAACATTAAAAACAACGTGCATGATGCATGAATTCCTATAGGAATGGATGGTGAAGTGAAGTTATAACAAAAACAAAATTCATACACATTTGCCAAAGGTACTTTTTCGTGAAACCCTGGTTCCAATTTGGTTTTCTTTCTTGCTTTCTTTTCCTTTGGTTTTTCGTGAACACCTGGTACCTATTTTTCCTTTCTTTTCATTTGATTTTTCGTAACTTCTTTTCCATCTCTGTCCTATTGCTATGCTCGTTTAGTGAGTGTGAGCGAGAAAGAAATATCTGACTCCCGAATTGCACAGCCGGGCGCTTTACTATAAAACCACCCCTATTCTATGGCCTTGCTCATTTAGTGAGTGTGAGCGAGAAAGAAATATTCGGTTCGGAAGTGCGCAGCTCACTTTCTACTAGAAAAGGCCATGTTGAAAGGCTTGTAAATCATTTGCGTTCAAGAGTTTAAAGGATTAAGACCTTCACGACAATATCCCATTTAAACCGTAGCTTGGTGCAAATTAAAGAGTGAATACATACAAAAACATCAGAGACCTAGTCCAGAATTTGAAAATACAATTAAAATTCCGACAAAAAGACAAACCACGGAGGCACGGAAAACGAATTACTATCTAGAGCTCCTTTGCCAAACGTCGGTCATTGTAATTGTGGTAATTTAGTTGCATTTATATTAATTAAAACCTACACAGGTATGTACATAAATACATATACCAGTATGTATCAAAATATTACAAATAAATGTAAAAAACACAAAAAAGAGACATTTATTCGGTTCTGCCAATCCTCGTATGCAACACGCTCGACGCGAACGACTGAAGTTGTTCGAAGTGGTCACTGAGTGTACTGTGGGGCATGATGCAATTATATAAGGTGGTCTCGTCGGCATCAGCAGGCCCTTAACAATACTTACAATAAGTGCGAGTGAAAGGGCTCAGCACAGTAAGTTTGAGTGAAACAACAATAGAGCGTGTTGATTAACCCTCAGATGGACCATGGGGTTTAAAGTTGCGTGCTATAATACGAAGAGTTGATGTTTTTTTATAATTTAAATTTAATAATTTTGAATTGGAAATTAAACGTTGTTTTTGTTTTTGGATAGATATTCTTTCTATTCTTCTTCTATAATTGCATCATGCTGTGGGGTGCGGTCGGATTGGCGCAAACAACTCAAGCCAACTGTCGGTACCGTTCGGTTCCACCGTCGCTTCGGTTACAGCATGTTCGACGCGAACAACTTAAGTTGTTTCGGTCGGATCGGGCGGGGCTGACCCATACTGGACATGGGATGCTATCGGACCATTGCGGTTCGTTTTACTATCCATTCGGTCGGGAATAATCTAACACGCTAGACAAGTTTGAGCATTCGCTCATACAAACTGGTCACTTTAGTGTGCTTGGACCCGAACAGAGAAACATGTTGCGGTTTGACGGCAACGTCGTTTTGGCCGAGAGTATTCCACCGTGCTGGACGTGAACGTATCCATTTAGATTCGAACACGTCACTTTAGCTCGATGTGACTCGGCCAACCAAAATCCTGAAGCCTTGAGAATGCCCTATACGTGGTATTTTTTTTTGGCTGTAGGGAACTTTGGAGATGGTTAATAATATTTAAAACATACAACAAAAAAAAAAAAAAAAAAATATATATATAATAAAAAACAAACAAATTAATAAATAAAATTAATAAAATAAAACTTAAATTGATACTATGATCATTCCAGCTACAACTCGTGACAAAAAAAAAGTCAGGTCATTTCTAAAAGTCGAAGAAGTCCATACAGACCGACCGAATTCACTTCACCATCCATCACTTCACCACCGGCAAGAAAATTATACATATTTATACCCGTACTCAAAAAAGAGTTAAGGGGTATATTAGATTTGTGGTAAAAGTGGATGTGTGTAACGCAGAGAAGGAAACGTTTCCGACCCCATAAAGTATATATATTCTTGATCAGCATCAATAGCCGAGTCGATATAGCCATGTCTGTCTGTCCGTCCGTCCGTCCGTCCGTCCGTCCGTCTGTCCGTCTGTCCGTCTTGATGAGCGCCTAGATCTCAGAGACTATAAAAGCTAGAGCAACCAAATTTTGTTTCCAGACTCATGTAATATCACACTGCTACAAGTGTATTTCAAAATTTCGCCCCGCCCCCTTCCGCCCCCATAAAGGACGAAAATCTGTGGCAGGCACAATTTTAAAGATACGATAAAACAAAAAACGCAGTATCGTAGAAAATAACCATATCTACCAGATTGCCGAATCTGAATCAGATCGGATCATAATTATAGCCAGAATGAAGAAATGAATTTTCTGTTGGTTCCCTCTCCTTCTCCAGCGCTGCTGACGCTACTCATTCTCTTTCTCGCTCGCACACTCTGCCGCGTTCAGTGCGCAACCCCTAGCGGAGGAGATGTAGAATATAAATGGTACATGTACAATCTACATGTTAGATGTGGAATATACATTGTAGATGTAGATGTAAATAGCAGATGTAGCAAAAAATGTAAAATTTTTTTTTTTTTAATTCTAAAAAATCATTAGCTCAAAATGTATATACAGACTGAGTACGGGTATACCCCAAAGCGACTCACACGTTCCTTCTCGTTCCAACAAAAACACACTCACAAGAACAAAATAAAAAAAAAACAAGTAAAATCTATAAATACATATATATAAAAGAAAGTCGTGTCTGTTACAACACTTATAACTCGAGAACGGCTGGACCGATTGCCATGGTTTTTGATTTGTTGGATTTGTTTCCGTCCCGAATAGCAGAATACAAAAAAACTCGATATGCGCAATGAATAGATGCATTTCAATAGATTTTGCTTTTTTTATTACAAATATCGAGTTTTCATTGATTTTCTTTCTCCATGTCAAACATTTGTTGTCCAATCCTGTCAAATAGTTTTCTTCTACAGTATTCTACATAAAATCATCGGAAAAGAACGGAATTTAGGGAATAAAAAATCATTTTGGTGGTTTTATGCGAGTGCACATTTTAATAACAATGCCGCGTCCTAGAAGATATAATCTTTCCCAGCGAAGCCGTAATGCAATTAGGCAACGGAATATCGTGAGTCAATTATATGATGGAGAACGATAAATTGCACGAGAACAGCGACGTGTTAGTATGGAGCAAAGAAGGGCCTTAATTCTCAAAGACAAGAGCAAAGAGAGGCAGCCCTTGAAACGGCTAGGTTAGAAAGGAGAAATCGTCGAGCTTATCGTACAGATGAACAGAGGAACAATCTTCGCAGTGCAAGAAGAAATGGTTCAAGTATTGATTTGAATCGAGCAGCGTTTCTGTATGACGTGAACGTGAATATGATCCACATAAACTAATCCAATTAGTTCAAACGAATGTACCTCTGTAGAATCCTAAGCAGAGGGAAGTCTATGATACACTGATTAATGCAATTGATGATGGAAATGGGGGCTTATTTTTTTTGGATGCCCCCGGTGGAACTGGGAAGACATTCCTCATGTCATTGATTTTCGCCACTGTACGTGCGAGATCCGAAATTGCGGTAGAAATTTCTTCTTCTGGAATAGCGGCCACATTGTTAGACGGATGCCGTACGGCTCACTCAGCGTTAAAATTGCCATTAAACCTTCAAACTACTGAACAACCGACATGTAACATTTCGAAACACTCCGCAATGGCCAAAGTTTTAGTAGCATTAAAAATCATCATTATGGGACGAATGCACAATGGCGCACAAACGCGCATTGGAAGCACTAGACCGAACATTAAAAGATCTGCGCAATGACTCGAGATGTTTTGGTGGTGCAATGATTTTGTTATCTGGCGATTTCCGACAAACACTACCAGTCATTCCAAGATCTACAGCTGCCGACGAAATAATCGCTTGCCTCAAAGCATCAAATCTGTGGCGATATGTAAAGAAACTTCAACTGTCTGTAAATATGAGAGTTGCATTGTTGAACGATCTATCTGCTGATGATTTCTCGAAGCAATTGCTGACTATCGGTAATGGCCGTGTTCCTGTTGACAAATCGAGCGGTTTGATTTCATTTCCTCCAAATTTTTGCAATTTCGTATCATCAAAAGACGAGCTTATCAACAAAGTATTCCCGGATATAATTGCTAACCACAAAAATACTAAATTGTTAAGTGAGCGAGCAATTTTGGCCGCTAAAAATAAAGATGTAGATGACCTCAATTTTATAATTCAAAATCAAATCGTAGGTACTCTGTATTCATTCAAATCTATCGACTGTGTAACAAACGAAGAAGAAGCCACTAATTATCCAACTGAATTTTTAAACTCCTTTCATGTGCCTGGTTTACCACCGCACAATTTAAAACTTAAAGTTGGCTCGGTAGTCATCATTCTTAGAAATTTAAACCAACCAAAACTGTGTAATGGAACGCGTTTGGTGATAAGAAAACTGATGAGCAATGTGATTAACGCGTCGATACTTAAGGGAAAATTTAAAGATTAGGAAGTTCTTATTGCAAGGATTCCGATGATCCCAACGGATATGCCCTTTGAGTTTAAACGAATTCAATTCCCGATTCGTCTTGCCTTCGCCATGACGATCAACAAATCACAGGGCCAATCCTTGACTATTTGTGGCCTCAATCGTCGCATGCTCACGTGTCGGCAAACCATCCGCTTTATTTGTTCTTGCGCCTGACCAAAAAACAAAGAATGTCGTTTACCACAAAGTGCTTGAATGAAAATAAAGCCTAAATTAGTTCAACTAAAAAGTAACACGACATTCATTGACTGTTAGGCGGTACGAAGTTTGCCGTGGCAGCTAGTTTTAAAATAAATAAGATGTTTGCTAATAAAATTAACATTTCATTCATTTCAGTATTCCAGGACACAGAATCTAAAAACATCCACACAACTTGAATATATAAACTCCTACACACAAAACTAAGTTTTAAAACTACTAATATTAAGTACACAAAGAAAACACGACAAACAGCCATTTTCAGACAAAAATACACTTAAACAAGTAACATAACCAAGAAGAGACAAAAATAATTTTTAATACTACACCAACATTAAAGAAAAACGAGAAGGAACGTGTGAGTCGCTTCTGGGGACGCGACTTTACTTATTCCCGTACTGAGTCAGTATATACATTTTTGAGCTTATGATTTCTAAATTTTAGTTTTACATTATTTTGCTACATATATTATCTACATCTACATATACTATATATATTCTACATCTAACATGTAGATAATACATGTACCATTTAGATTCTACATCTCCTCCGCTAGGGGTTGCTCGCGCACTGAACGCGGCAGAGTGTGCGAGCGAGAAAGAGAATCAGTAGCGTCAGCAGCGCTGGAGAAGGAGAGGGAACCAACAGAAAATTCATTTCTTCATTCTGGCTATAATTATGATCCGATCTAGTTCAGATTCGGCAATCTGGTAGATATGGGCATTCTCTACGATACTGCGTTTTTTTGTTTTATCGTATCTTTAAAACTGTGCCTGTCACAGATTTTCGTCCCTTGTGTGATCGGAAGGGGGTGGAAGGGGGCGGGCCGAAATTTTGAAATACACTTGTAGCAATGTGATATCACATGAGTCTGGAAACAAAATTTAGTTTCTCTAGCTCTTATAGTCTCTCAGATCTAGGCGCTCATCAAGACTCGGCTATTGATGGTGATCAAGAATTCATATACTTTATGGGTCGG